TGTATGTATGTATGTATGTATGTCTGTATGTATGTATGTATGTATGTATGTATGTATGTATGTATGTATGTATGTATGGTATGTATGGTATGTATGTATGTATGTATGTATGTATGTATGTATGTATGTATGTATGTATGTATGTATGTATGTATGTATGTATGGTATGTATGGTATGTATGTATGTATGTATGTATGTATGTATGTCTGTATGTATGTATGTATGTATGTATGTATGTAAGTATATATGTCTGTATGTATGTATGTATGTATGTATGTATGTATGTATGTATGTATGTATGTAAGTATACATGTATGTATGTATGTATGTACGTATGTATGTATGTATGTATGTATGTATGTATGTATGTGTATATGTATGTATGTATGTATGTATGCATACCAGTCTACAACTGGTTCGTTGTAGGCGTTAACCATTTCTTTGCCTGCAACAGCTGCTATTGTTGTTGTCGCTGCTGTTGCTTCTTGGCCCAGTTGGCTATTTGACATCGGCGGGTTTCTTTATATACCCTGTACCCTCGAAAATCGTTCAAATATAGTTTATGGCTTATATACCAGTCAAATGGTGGCATTTTCGACATAATTGTCTTTTAGATGTATGTCTGTTAAATGTATGTAATCAATTTTTCAAAATTTCAAAACTAATCTAGTATTTGTAAAATGTGTACGGCTACAGACGACTGCAGAGTAACGGCAAGGGTCGCGTTTTTAACTGATTCCATCCTATTTCTTTTTTTTTCTCAGAATTATAACTTTTTGTGAAAAAAGTGAGACGCATGGTTTAAAAAAAAAGGGAAAGATCTGAGTACAAAGCGTGATTCGTCGGCGGTGCACTACCACAAACACAAGCAACAAATACCACCAACGCCCAACCACCGCCCACTTTGGCTGTGAGATTTGCATGTGCAATTTATGCTTTTGATGGCCGTCGTCGTCGCCGTCGTCGTCGTCGTCGTCCTCGTCGCCGCCGCCGTTGCCGTTGCGCTGCATGTTAATGAAAGGCAACTGCAGATGCAACGCAGCGTCCTCTACTCTACACATGGCTGCCGTGCCATGGCCGAGATGTCATGAGCCCCATAAGCCAGAAGCCGCCAGCAACAGCAGCCAGCAGCTGGCAGCCAGCAACGAGCAACGAGCAACACAGAGGAACGGATTTTGCATGCCTGTATGCATATTGGAAATGCGAAAAGTTCAAGGATTGCTTCTCGTCGTGAGCTTAGATTCTGTGCAGATTGTGTTGCTGCAGTCATTTGTTGGTTTGCTGTTGGCCAGGTAACCCAAAGAAAACCAACGCCAACAACAACAACAGCCGCAGCAGCAACAGCAACAGCAGCAGCAGCAACAACAGTAACGCTAACAAATGCCAGGGCCTAGGGCCAAATGCAATGTGGCACATGAGCGAGCAATGTGCACTACTTAGGTAAGTGCACACACACACACACACACACACACACACACATATACATAAATATATAAGTATACGCATATATATATATATATTATTTTTTTTGTATATAAAAGCATGCTGTGCAAATGGTTGGACTATAAAGAGTTTCATTTTGAAAAGCGCGTAGAATGAATGCAATCAGCTCACAATCAGAATAACAGCAACTGTGATCTCCAAAAAAAAGGGTTTATTAAAAACGTTATATAATGAAGCCACTATAATATCTGCTTCTATCGATGTTCTGGGCCTATGTTTTCTCAATTATTATTATCATTATTATTATTTGCGATTTGGTTTGATCTATTGTGCCTCCATCAACTATGATTCTTGCACGAATTCAAGAATTTTTATCGGATTGAGGATTTCTGTGTCTTTCGAAAATATGATATGGATACTGCATCTTCTTCTAGCTATGGCAACACAATCCGCTATAATGTGCTTTGAGGATTCTAGTCTACAGGTATAAGTCTGTTCTGGATATTATCGGCTCGTTTCTGATTATAGCTACCTAAAAGACATTTGGCCTGTCTTCTAAGACAGAATCTCTGTGAGAATTAAAATCTGGAAAATATAAACATAGTAAAAATATGCAACACTTATTTGTTTGCATTACTATCTAATTTATCCAGTCTGGGGGGGGGAGGGAGTATTTTTGGAGTGATTGTTTGCTAGACGTGGCCAGCGACGACGACTATGCCGGACCAAGACCCCCCCCAGCCACCCCCATGCCGTTTGCCTAACCCAGTCAGGCTGGCGAAGACTTGTTGCCTTTTACTTGCCGTTTAGCTGCTTGGCTTGGCTCTTGTGGCAATTTTTCTTGTTGTAAGTTGTAAGTTGTATGTTGCATGTTGCAAATGTATAACTGGCCATGTTGCCAGTCAGGCTGGCTGACGAGCATTTGAGCAGTCATTCATCAGGTTACTGCGCTCGGCGCCCGACAGCCATCCAATTAAGCTATAAAAATCTTAATTTAATTATTTGCCACACGAACAAAGCCAGAACATGTATTCAACACATACACACACATAGACACACACACACACATATATATATATATACACGTCTATATGTAAAATTTGCCATTCACATTTGCAGTCGCAGTCGCAGTCACATTCGTATTTGATGCAGTACAACGGCGACGGCGACGGAGATGGAGACGCAGACGACGATTTATGGTGGCCGGTTTTTTCTTCATTTATGGATGGGGGCATGCGGCATTGGAAGCGGGACAGTCGGGCAGCAAGCGGCATGCATTTTTCATGAATTAGTTCATATAAAAGTCAAATGCACAAAACGTACGCTGGCAACTGGCAACTGGCAGCTGGCAAGGGGACGAGGGGACGAGGGAAGTCACCGAATTGGAACTGTGTTTGCTGCCTGACGAAGGGTTAACCCAACCGAGAGATGGTTGGGTGATGGTATAGGATGGGGTTAGGGTGGTGGGTAGCTGGCTTGCTGCCGCTGTTGTGGCGACGGCAGCACATAAACAGATTTGTAGCCGCAAAACAAAACAAGCCAAAAATAAAGTACAAATCCAAATAAACCAAGTTTAATCTGCAATTGCAGAAGGAATGCTCGACTGGCAGGATAGTCTGTATCAATTTTTTGATAATCACACTGGCATATTATTTATCCTTCAGTCATCTTGACTAGCCGATTTATAATAAATATCAAAGTGTTATTTGGGTAATTTTCACTTGCATGTTCAAGGAACATCATATCCGATAATCTCAATATTTTTTGTTATTTTATTATTCGATTTTAAGATAGTTATCTAAAATGGGTCATTAATAGAGAATTAAATGATGGACGAATTAACAATTTTATCTTTCTAATTCCAAGTCAGCCAGACTCTAGAAGAGAGAAGCACAACATAAAATCATTTAATTCCTTATGAAGTTGCAATTCTTATAATATTGCTGTCAATTCATTCGCGGGCCAAAAAAGTACAGGGTATAAGGGTTACATGTGCACATTGGCATTTATGTGCTTATGTGGAGAATTGAAAGAAGTTTTATTGGAGCCAAGCCCCCCCCCCCCCCCCCCCTCCGCCTTCTCACCCTCCCCGCTCAACAGTATCCGCATAGACTTACACATATAAACGCAGAACTGAGCGTCTCTTTTGTTGATTTTTGCTCTATAATTAATGAAATGAAAGCATTTGGCGGCGCTTTCCTCTGACACCCGACTCCTATTTCTACTCCTATTCCTACTCCTACTCGTAATCCAACTCCTACTCCCATTTCTACGCCGACTCCCACTTCATCTTCTATTTCTACTCCGACTACGACTTCTACTCCAACTCGAATTTCTACTATAACTTCTACTCCTACTCCAATGGTGATGCCAGCCTAACATTCGCTTCTGGTTCTGACTGTTGCTCTAGGCCTGGTATCCGAGTTTGTTGACGTCTATGTATGTATGTGTGTGTGTGTATGTGTGTGTGTGTGTGTGTGTGTGTTGTGTGTACTGTGAGCAGGCACATAAATTAGATGCATGAGTTCGGGGCCAGGAATAATACGCCCGATTATGCGAAAGCGTGCCGACCTTAGAAATCTCTTGACCGCTTGAGCTTAGCCAACGAAATCAAAATCAAAGGCAACAGCAACAGCAACAGCAATGGCAAACAGTTTCAATGCGAGAAATGCAGTCGGCAGCTTTTTTGGGGCAATGCTGCCTCAACTCAGAGCCCAGTCAGCAGGATAAAACGAGTCGTTTCATCTTGTTTCTGTTGTTGTTTTTTATTTGGGTGTTGGTGTGGGCTGGCCGCTGGCCATTTTAGGGCTTGCCACTTGATACAAAAACAGCAACAGAGAGCATAGCAAAAAAAAAAAAATAAAAATAAAGAAAAGAAAAAGAATTACAGTGGGTTGCCTGAGAGCCAAAAGCGGATTGCGGAAGAGCAGGGTCGGATGGCTTAACGTGCTAGCGAAGTAACCAAAAGGAAAGAAAACAACAACAACAATTGGCACGGCACATTGAACAAGTTAAAATATAATAAGTACGTACATAGGCTTTTGTGTGTGTTGTGTGTGTTGTGTGTGTTGCTCTTATTGAACACTGAAACTGGCAAGCAACAAAAAGAACAGCAATTTATTTTCAATAGAGATTGTAAGCAGCTTCGGGTGGGTGGCGGGGTGGTGTGAGGGTAAACGCCTGAAAATGAGGAAAATGTAAAAACAAGCTAAGCAAATTAAATGTCAATGGCCTTAGAAAATGTTAAAAACGTACGAAAATCCATTAGAAAATTCAATACCTAATCGAAAAATATTCAAGGAAGTGATGATGTTTGAATTGAACAATTTCAGTAGGAGAAATAACTAAGAGCACAAAGTAGATAAATAAATAATACTATTCTCTATTCACAAAGAGATTAAATTCAAAACAACGTATTTATACTCAATTATGATTTTGCATATGCGTCCGTCTTAAAAATGTTAAAAGTTCTATTGATTTTTGTACACAAAGCTTTCAATAGCACAAGCCGGCTCAATCCGGCTTAAATAAAATAGCAGTAACAATTATTAATTACCTCACAAGGCACAGCTCTTCACAGTTGAGGACGTCTGTTGCTGCAATTGTTGCGTTCGTTTTATTTGCTGCAACGAGAACATTGGAAAAACAGAAGCAATATTTGGTTAGAAGTGAAGCATATTTTAAAGGCAACGCCACGCAACAAAAAAAAGGACAATTTAAGAAAATGTGAACAATGTATTGGAATAGAATAGAAACCATAGTATAAAATCGACTTCCGGCTTTGGGTTTACCACTAAGCTCATTAATTTTATTTGCCCTTTGCGGTCGAAGCGCCGGAAAGCGTCTGCTGCCTTGTCTCAAGTGTGCAACTCTAAAAAATTGAAAAAGGGAGACTTATACATACACACACACACACACACACACACACACACACACACGCAGAGTCAGACACTTGCCTATTCGTATGCAAAAGGCCAAAGTCAAGTGGCAACAGGCCGAAACTGAGGCCGGGGCTTAGCCCAGTCCCAAGCCTGGCCCCCTCACAGCTTTGGTCTGCAACTGCCGGCTGGAGACAGAGCGAGTTTTATTGGTCGCAAGCAGTTGCCAGTTGCCAGTTGCCAGTTGCCAGTTGCCAGTTGCCAGTTGCCAGTTGCCAGCTATCCGGTGAGAAATTTTCTGAAATGCGGTTCAAGGTTTTTTGGGTGTGTTTCAGGCCGCCAGCTGCGGACGCAATAGTGAAAGTGAATTATTATAAACAATTGCAATTGACGCTGATAAGTGCACTCACTGAAGTGGGGGACTTTAGAGGGTGATGGTGTCGCTGGTGTTGGCAGTGGCAAGTGAATAACCAGGCCATGCTCGAGTGGTTATTGTTGTCGCCTTTGCAATGCTTGAGCTTGAAGCGACTCAAGCTGAGCCCCACATAAATGCTTTTCATTCAAAAACTGGCACGAGTCGTATATCGAATGCGAAAAGTGGCCTTTGTTCAAGGCTTTTATCGGTTATTGGGTGATAAAAGTAATGGCCAACAGGGCTGGCTGTTGAAAGTTCAGTGAGTGTCAGGAAAATTTCGAGTATTACCAGATTAATAATTCGATAAGTCGAGTTTTCGAACTACGTCTAGCTTTGTGGCATAAGAGAGCAATGAGTGAGAACGGATTGGTCTTTGCTTTTCAAATAATTATTAAATACATTAAATGGCTTCTAACAACATAAATATCAAAAACAATTTGATGTTTATTACGAAATAATTTATAAAGAAAGCTACTGCAAAGTAACCAAATAGCTGCTGGTAAAAAATATTAGGTTATGCGACAAAGACAAATAGTTAAAATAAACTCTTTTCGTTATGCAATTTGTCAAGTTGGCATTGTGTGATTTGTTAGCTGGCCCAAAGCCTGACAGACTGATCACTGAATCACGTGTGAGTGCATTTATTGTTGATTGAAAGTATTAAAGAAAACGAAAATATATTTGAATTTTCAGCAATTGCTCCTCCAGTTAGTTTTTGTGGTTTGGATTTGCTTTTTTTCCTGTTTAGATTGCCCCAGCTGAATGATTTTGTTGTTGATTAATGCACGTGTCAAGTGCAGCTACAGCCAATATGCAAGCAAAGCTGTACCATCCCACACAATTGGCATATCCCATGCCAACCCAAACCCATTTCTAAACAATGCAAATGCCAGTTAGCTGAAGACTGCCAATGGCTTGAAGTGTTGCCTGTTTTTTTTTTTTTTTTTTTTTTTTTGCTGGGTTGCCCACTTATTGCACATACGCTGCGTTTGCATCGAGCCAAATGAAGTCACTTGCGGTTGCTGTAAGTTTTTATACAGTATATTTTATTCTTGTCTTGTTTTTCTTTTCTTTTTATTTATTTATTTATTGTTATTTTTTTTTTTTTTGGTACTGCTCTTGTGCTTGTAGTACTGCTGCTGTCAGGCATCGTTTTTCTGTACATATGTGTGCGAAAGACTTGATTTATGTCGCTTTATTTCATTTTAATTGAAAAACTTGCAAGCTGAGCGACCAAAGCCAAGTGGAATTTGCGCCCAGGCAACGCACAAAAGAGCAAATATAATTAAAATGGCATTTAAAATGTTTTCGGCTACCGGCTGCAGCAGCAACAGCAGCAACAGCAACAGCAGCAGCAGCAGCAACAGTTACAATAGCTAGAGCAGCAGCAGCAAAAGTAAATATGCAAGCTCCAAATATATGTAATGGCATAAAAAAGTAAATAAATTACAACACAAAAGCACAAATGTAAATAAAATGACTTTATTAAAAAGCTGGGCGCACCAACAAGAACGAAAACCGACAACAGAGAGAAAAAGGATAGGCGCTGTTTATAAACTTTCAGTGTGCAAATAATAAAGACATTCGCCAGTTCTATGGTTTAGGGCAGAGTAAATCGTACTGACTGGCAGTGCAGCAGCAAACGGCCCAACACAGATACCAACAGTAAAGGCCAACACCCACCCGATTCCAGCACCACACCGCACCGCACCGCTCCGCACCACCAGTCTAGTCGGTCGACCTTTTTTCTATGACAAATGCAAATGACGCACTCGGTGCTGGTTTTGATGTTGGCAACTTTAAAAGTGGGCAGTTGTAGAGATACAAAATATTTTTTTAAAATATAATAAAATAAATAAATCCATGCAAAGGTTATGTGTGTGTGTGTGTGTGTGTGTGTGTGTGCACAGTGGTACCAAAACTGACAGCTGCTGTCACTCCATGAGCTGCAGATGTGACGCAATTCAAAAGCAAACAGCAATCAAATTCAAATGGAAAGATCGCAGCCAGCGCTTGACAACAATTTTTGTAGAGCAGACAGTGCCAGATTATTGCAAAGATGTGTATGGAAATAACAACACTTGAAGCAGCTGCTGCTGTTGCTAATTACTTTTAAGCCCTGCAAAGGGAAAAGCGCGTAGAAAAGGTATTTAACATAAAGTCGAAGAAATCTTTGATAATTATTTATACTGGTTGCGAAATGGCCATTAAATATATAAATGTGTTAACTAATCAATTTTGTATATGCGAAAATGATCTTCAATTAAAAAGACCAGCATATTTCAGCAAAATAAGCCTGGTGTCATTGTATTATAGTTGAGCAGTTATTAATGTTAATGTTGCTGCCGTTTGATCAGCAGCACAGATCAGCTCTTCACATTTTGTGGCAACTAACGATCCGTGTCGACACAACTTTCAAATGGCGAGCGGACAAACTAGACACAAGCACTTGGCGATATAACCACGGTGCAGCAGCAGCAGCAAAAACAAATGAGCAACAGCAACAACAACAAGAAATGCCGCCAACAACTTAAATCATGCGACCAGCATAAAACAGCAATAACAAGAACAAAACAGACAACCAGCACGAAAAACGCCAACACAAAATGGTAACAGAAAAAAAAAAACAAATATAGCAACAACAGCAACAACAGCAGCAAGAATAACAGTAACAACAATGGCAAACAAAAAAGTGAAATTAAATAACAATAACAAGGTTAGTTGTGTTATTTTTTTTGTTGATGCTGCTACTGCTGCTGGCGCTGTTGCGATAACGTCGCCAATATGCGGCGTTTGCGAAGCGAGTACAACAACAATAATAAGAACAACAGCAACATGGAAAATATTTCGAATATGCAGCGGCAAATTGAGTGTTTTTATTGCATTAACATAAATAAATTAGAATGCCAACAGGCGCTCGCCCATGCTGCTGACTCACTATTAGTTGGCTAGCAACAGCAGCAACAGCAGCAGCAACAGCAGCAAGATGCAAAAGTTGGCCCAGCAGCACAGCAAAGCCGAACTGCAGCAATAACAGCTGACGCGTGTTGGCTGTCAAACGAGCGTGTGGGTGTGTCACTGTATGTGTGTGTGTGTGAGTGTTTGTGTGTTTGAATACCTCTCTTTTTATGTAGCAACTGCTGCTGCAAAATGCACAGCAACAGCAGCCATTCGCAGCGTCAGCAACACGCGCATATTGTTGCCGACGCCTGCAAGACAAGATTTTTGCAGCTGCTGTTTGCTGTTGTTAGTGTGATCGCATAACGGTGCTTTCAGCACATACAGCTTCGGTCAAAATAATAGTACTACTCTTCATAAGATATATATTATGAATTTTGCAATTTTTTTGCGCCTTTTTAGTATCTGAATTTTGTCTCGATCGAGCTTATTCATTTACTTGGTTGATTGAAACACAATTTGCCTACCAGCCTATATTACATCATCATCAACATCATTGAGTGTCGAAACAATTGACAGATATCTAAGATGTCTGTCAAAAAATAATCCTTACAAAAAAATAGGAAATAAATAAAAATTGACAATATTGAAATTTGCCAAGGTACTTTTGAATTGACCATTGGTTGAATGGAGAAGTAATTTGTGATTGGACGAATCCAAATCTCTTTTAAATGGTCGTACAATGTCTATGTCTATGAGTTTTTCGTATATAATATATAATTTTGTGCCCAACTGTATGCATGCACATGTTGCTGTTGACTGGCCTTCGCAATCAAATCTTTTTTGAAACGTTGGATTAATGTTTTTAATACTGCTGCTGCTGCTGCTGTTGCTGCTGCTGCTGCTGCTGGTGACAGCCCGATGTCTGAAAATATTATTTACATTGGTGGACAAGGTAAGCACAACGCCAGTTATGAGCGGTACAAAGCTAATGTCACTCCTATGCCCGACATCGACAACAACGACAACGACAACGACAACGACTTGTGTTTGACATGCTTGAGGATATTGCACTGACAGCTGCCGAATGCGTTTGCCTTTGGCTTTGACCTGCTGTTAAGGTCTGGGCCTGGAAATTGTTGTTTGGCTTAAGGTGCAACTGTCAAGGACAGATACAGCTGCAGCAACAGCAGCAGCAGGAACAGCAGAAGCAGCAGCAGGAACAGCAGAAGCAGCAGCAGGAACAGCTAAAATATCAACTATAATGGTGAAAACTTGCGGCAGTGAGCCAACGGCTTGAACGTTGCCCTGAGCTGTGGCCAGCGAGAGAGTTGCCAGTTGCCAGTGTCAATAAAATTAAATTAAAAACTTTAAATAACAGCCAGCCAGCGAGCGCAAGACAATTTAATCAAGCAACTCGGCAAATGAATGC